AGCACATAGTGGTTTGCTAGGGGAGAGTTTGGCCGGCCATCTACTGTACAGCCTCTGAAGCTTCTATACCCGCCTACCAGCCATAAACGTATAGGATATCACCAAATCCGGATCAACCCCAACACCCAAGTCCAGAGCACAACCAATGAAGCGAAGAAGTAGGACAAGTAGGAGGGGATCTGTGCGACAATGTTTTAATGTTTCCTGGTACATGGTTGGGGAGCGCAAGCACACTCAGAGTAGCTGTTGTGGAAGATGGCCTGCTACATAAATCTGATATATGTTGGTGCCCTACTTGCGCACAGTCATGATTTAACAGAATATGAACATTCGTGTCATCTTTAAATTGTGAGGAACTGAGCGTTTGTGAAACAATTTGGTCTAACTCGTATAGTCTATAGAATGTCTTGCTGCGGCTAATGGTCCGTGCAGCAAGTAAATTTCCATCCTTCACCGAGGGAAGTGTGCAGTCACCCAAAATACTGGAAGGGCATCGGAGGGATGTCCCCTTGTTGATAGGCACCCATGTAGAACACACCGTCGCACACACGCAAAAGAATTGCCCAGCTTTCCCATTCAAAGCCGTCGCCAATGCTAACCTTGGCTAGCGCACGCTGTGTACTTTGTGATTACAGTACTCCTGTCCTTGAGAACCCCTGGCTAAGCCCTGAAAATCCAAACGTACTTCAAGCTTAGAGACGCCATTCCGGAAGGTGTTAGCAGGTCCATGGCATTCTCTTGTCCGGGTAGTGGCTGCCCATATTGTATGTCAAGGGCTGCTGCAGCATGTCCACCCAGTCTGAAGCTTCTAGTTATCCAGGCCGAGCCCGAGAAGTACTCAACGCAAGTGTAAGCCTCCCCAAGCAGCCCGTGTGGCACTCAAAGATGTACATACACTCATTCACTTATATAGATTCTGCAATCTTGGAACCCAAAGCAGAGCCTCATTGAATGTCTCCACATTCCGCGCGAAGGCCAGCAGCACGATGCAAGCCAGCAAGACCTGGGCCAGGCAAATTAGCATGGCTCGGGAGTTAATGGATTCTTGGGGCATATTTCAGAAGAGTCCTTCTACAGTTTTCAAATGATGACGAAGAATTGCTTGCTTGGCTTCTCTGGTGACAGTACTGAAGATGGTGTTTCTTCAAGACTGGTTTTGAGGCACCGGCTTGTTCTGGGTCCCTACTACACCTACATAGAAGGCCTCATATACTTGTGAACCCTTTATAATGGCCCCCCATATAACCACGTATAATCTGAAAACCCTTTCCTGGAGAAGCTCTCAATCCTATGAGCTCTCAACCCTAAAAAAGTTCAGCTCTATAAACCCTGAACCCTATAAACGCCCAGCCCTATAAACCCTCAACCCTATGAATTCCGTAAAAACTCTTTAAAACCTTCAAGCAAAAGAACCTTCCCTAAAGGAATTTGTGAAGATGGAGTTCTTAGAATACATCCAAGGGATCCTGTGGAAGACAAAGAAAACTAACGCCTCCTGGACCCTCCGAACTTGATCAACCCCACAATCTTCCATCCCGTATAAGAGCTGCGGGCCTTTGGCGCATTTGCAAAGTAGAGCTTCAGAAGTAGGTTGTTCAGCGCAGAGTACTTTTGACTGTCCATTGCCGGGTAGTGGGTTTTGCTTTATAGACACTATATAGGGAAACTTAAGACCGTTCTTTCACAGACTTCTACAGCTGTCCTGGGTTTGTCCATCTGTAGTTTTGCTACAGGCTCTGTTGCCTTCCTATAAAACCCAAGTACCATACTAGGGGGATGAAATCACAGCGGCTGGAGCCGGTCTGGCCAAACAAGCACAGTTGCAAATGGGATTGATGTGGCGATGCCCATTGTTGAGCAGGGAAGTGGGCTGCTTTTGAAGTAGGTATGTTCGATTACCTGTTGGCCCGAATGCCTCATTTTAGAAAGTAGTCTGGGGATAAAACCTATGTAGTCTGGGGATAAAATAAATGTAGCCTGGGGATAAAACCTATAGAATGCTTGGGCTGCTTTTCTAAAACAGTTAACACTTCCGAATCCCCTGGCTACCCCCACCTAAACCAAGAGCTTCGATCCTGCTACCTATATATGACCTATCCAGTTAGCCTCCCCATGAACTGTGCCCCTGCAGAGCTTCATGTTATCCCCCCCCATATACATCTAATTGCTGACCCTGAATTTCGAATCACCCAAGCAGAAAACGTGGGAGGCTGTACCACCATCATTGCTCTCGGTCAAGCGGGCGCGCCATGCCACGCGAGGCCACCTGAGGAAAGAGTAAGGAGGATCGTTATGATTTACAGAGGAGTATAAATGGACAAGATCTTCCCAAGACCCATGCTTAATAGGCCACTGGGGTACTGAAAGATGGTGTGGGCAAGAACCTATACAGAGATTGCAGATAGGCTTCATGCGCATGCGCAGTCTGACTACTCAAGGAACACATCGTATCATTACAGGACTCGCGAGGCTTTCCATAACTCATTCTGATATGACCCATTGCTTGCTATCCCCCTTCAAACTATGTGTATATATATGCACAGAATTTGGAGGGGCCAAAGTGATTTAGCAGAATGGCGCAATCGGATCCATCTAATCCTGCACCAGCTTTTATAACACTTTATAGAGTTGCAATGTAGCAGCTGCGGCCACAAGGCAGAATAGTTGCCCAAAAAACGCAGTCACTTTTGCGCGCGCTGGGTCTTCGGGACAGAGCTTCTAAAGACCTGTAGAGGTGCATTGAGCGGCGGCTACCCAAAACAGGATACCTAAGCCCCCCTGCTGCAAACATACGAACTGGTACATGCGTGTGCCCAAGCATGCATATAGGCAAAAGCGTTTCAATCCCATCACACCACTTTTCATGACAACAGCTATGTATATATAGATGTACACTGAGTGGAACGCTGGCAGGGATTTCAAGTGTGCAGCGGGGCGCAACTCCTGTGATACAGCCTGCAATGCCTAGAAGATCTGGGCTCTATCGGGAACTCATGTCAAAAACTCCTGAGGAGTATTGTTTCTTCATCAGCTCTCAATGTTCTCCACGGCTTGGCGGATCTGCTCCAAGATCCACGGCTGGGTCACGTCACTGGCGTCGGCGTGGCCAATCTCCACCAAATAGGTCTCTGTCAAGCTGTAGGCGCTCTCAGCGACATTGTCGACACACAGCCTCTGCTCATTGTTCTCCTTGAACACCTTCATGGCAAAGTTCCAGCACGGAACCTGCCCAAACAAAAAGCAAATTTGTGGGGCCCTGAAACATGCGCAGGTCTATATAGTGGTTTTCTGTAGTGGAGCCAGGGATGCTTAGAGGGGCGTGTTGCAAACAACCCACTTGGCGACTGCAAGTACAATAATCGGTATATAGTCCAAGTCTAGCTACCATAAAGTAATTGACCCTGACTATATACCTGGATCGATATTTACATAAGACATGTGACTATGTGTATAAGTATACAGTTTTTGCCAAGCAGGTTATAAGCACCACACCTTTCCAAGCAACATACACAGCAACATAAAGTAGCGCCCCAGAATTCCCATCACCACACAGCCTCGAAGCTTGATGGCATGGAAAGCGCAGGGGCAACCATTGTGTTGAAGGCCTCCCGCAGGGCAGTCCACTTGGCGAGCGCCACGCCGGACTTCGGTGCAAACCTGCGCGCGAAGCTTCTCTTCAAGAACGGGTTGCGAGTTGCTGGCGGGCCCTTCTGACCACGCTTTCCTGCACTGGCCGCCTTGTTGCCATGCTCCTCATCATCGTTGTCTTTGGCTGCCTTCCCCACTGACTTGGCCTTGGCCTTCGCCTTTGCGGCTGTTTTGGCCTTCGCCTTTGGGGCTGCCTTGGGCTTCCCCTTCGCGGCTCGCTTGGCCTTCGGCTTCACCTCTTCAATCTTCTTGCTCGGGCCCTCGGTGGATGGGTCAGGGCTATCATCACCATCATCTGCCTCCCACTCCTGGGAAATCTCGGATGGAACTCTGGCAGAGGGCTTCTTCGTGAGGTGCAAGACCTTACGGCCCCTGCTGCGGCAAGGACTGGCTTTCTTGGAAGCTTTGCGGGATGTCTTGGGGCCCTTCTTGTTCTTTGACCTTCTTTTCCGGGGCGCCGTTGATGTCACCTCTCCATGCCCATCCCCATTCTTCTCCTTCTGCTCGGCCTCCATCAGCTTCTTCATGCCCAGCTGCTCACGTCGCGTCACCTTGCTAGAGGGCCATGCTGTATGAAAGAAATCGCATGATCTTATTATCTATACCCGTTACATAGCACTCTTATGCAAGAGGCAATTTGGTCCAGGGGCGTAGGAATCATCCTCCTCAGAATCAAGCAAGTCCTGCTCCCCATTGGCGAGACGGAACTTTGCAGCCAGCTCATCCAGCAGGGGCTCGGCAGGCACAAAAGTGTCATCCAACGCGTCCGCGCTGCCAACTGCCGGAGCTCCTATGGATCTTGTCAAAAATGCTTGAGGGTGGGCTCACGTGGTTTCGGGTAAGCTTAAACGATTTTCGCATGTCATGAGCTGCCCCTTTGAAAAGCAAGCTCCTGTCACAGAGGCAGACCTTCCACGGGCCTGCCTCATACAAGCAAAATGAATTTTCGCACGCAGGACCCACACAATTGCCAACGCACGCAAGTCAAATAATCGACTGAGACCCATTCCTGCTCTTGATAAGCTTCTGCTTGAGGCCACGCAACCTTGCCTGGACCTGCTGGATCTCCTTCTGGTTCTTTTCACCAGCATCCATATCAGGGACAAATCCTTTAGAACCCTTGCCATCGGAGCCTGTCTTGTCCTCGGGCGGGGTCTCGAAAGCATCAGGCCTGGTCAAAGCTAACAACTTCCAGAAACAAATGGCACGCTTACCAATACAACAAGCTTACAAGAAAATCTCTGCAGCATGTCCTGCAAAACTGCAAAGCCACCCTACTTGGTAATTGGAAATGGAACCCAGCAAGCTCCAGCAGACATGATTGCCAAATGAGCGTCCATGCATGGGCAGGCCTTGCAGAGGAGCTAGGCTCTGCTTCGCACTCCGCCAGCGCACCATTGTGGGAAGTGTCCGCCTTCTCGCACTCCTCCTTGATGGCACACGAGTGCTCTCCATCATCCACAACACCAGACCCTGGGATAACCTCGCCCATCCACAGTTCACTGTCTGAGTCCTTGATGAAATCCACAGGCTCCAGACCAGCCTCTGAACCATCGCGGCCCCCATCATGCCCTCCATGTTCTGCAGGGCCCTCATCTTCATCATCAACCGCCACGATGGCGAGACCTTCAGGTGGATTCCGGGCTGGGGCACAACTTCCGCCATCACCCCGACGGCCATGATCATCATCACCCCCTGAGCCTCCGTCGCTGAAATCAATATCGGACTGGTCCTAATCAAACAATGCATGTGGCAACACACGACCAGCAAAACTTCAACACAGGATTGACATGCGCTTCAGTGTACACAACGCGCGCACATTGAATACTGGAATATGTCTAGTCATGGTTTCCTGGGGACTGTGTTTATATAGATCTATACAAGGATCGAAACCCATCATTGTCCTGGGCATCGTCATCTTCATCATCACCACCAGCCAAAACTCTCATCAGCATTGCGAAGTGCTCATAGCTGCTGCATAGCCGCCCACGGGAATAGTTTCGCTTCACGAGGACACAGAAGCCCTTACACAGCCACGCGTCTTTCTTGATAGACGCCTTGTCCGCCGCGACGTTTCCGTGGATCATCTTGTGCAATTTCTTGATCCTGGAATGCAAATGAATAGAAACCTAATTTAGGATGGGTTTGAATTTGACTTCTGCTTTATACAGCACTTCGAGAATTGTAGGCTCCATTCTTTACACGAATTCCTGCAGGCAAGAATCTGTGTCTCAATCTGCGAAATTGTAAACAACTGAATTCCACCATCCTCACTCAAGAGCTTGGACATGTAGTAAAGAATTGGCTTGAGAATGGGGTGGTTGTGAGCAGCCTCCTTCACATGGGTTGGAGGATCATGATCATCTGGATTATGCGATTTCTCAAAGAGGCGGCGGCATTCACGATACCGACTCCGCACAAGGGCAGCGCCTTCCCAGGCCTCTGCCAAGCCAGACAGATCCAAGGGAGCCCCATGAGTCGTCACTAGCCGCATGCCCGACATGGCTGACAGCCTACACAAGAAATCCAAGCACTGAACCAATTGAGCTTGCAGTAGCACACGTGCCCCAACTTTTGCATTCTTGGGAAACTATAGTACAAGTATAGATATATACAGCTACAGGGTATATGTAAGTCTAGCATCTCGATCATGGATTGAAGGAAACTCCCCGAGTTCAACCTAGTGAATGATTGATGCTACTTAGGGCGCCTGAGTGCATATGGAATCCTTTCAGTCTTTTAAACGTGGATTACCCAAGGAAAGCCCCAAGTAAAACCTGGACAGAACACACCTTAGTAACATTGGGAAAACCATGCCCTGTACAATGCCCCCTAACTTCCCAAATCAACACAAATGAATAGAAACATGAAGACTTTGAGTAGCATAGCACCTGTGCCTGACCCTTTCTTTGCAAATTTTCAAAATAGTGCACATCCTATCTTGTTCCTGGACCCTGCATGGGTTCAGTATATGTCAAAACGCCTTCCCCCAATATGTGTATGCCTGAGATCCCGATCTTCCTGACAACGCATATATAAAGACCCCACTAGGACTCTGGTTTTGACCCTGGGATGAGGCTGCGGCTATGTGGCGCCCACGATGAACACTGGGCCCGGCTCGAGCAGCTGGTGCTGCTCCGTTCTTCTTCCTCTCACCTGCCTACCCTCTCAAGTCCATCTTCTTTCTTCCCTTTCGAGATAATACGGAGGAATTCCAGGCTCAAGATCTTTCAAGAATAAGGAACTCCAGATGTGTAGCATCAGGAAATCTGCCTCAAAATCTATGATCCCAAGATCTTGCAGTATAATTACACTATAGCCATCATGCGATGCCCCATTACAACATTGAAGCCCTGCTGCTGCACTACCAGCAGCTTCATCTCCAAATCATGGCTGCCCCAAAAGTAGGACACCCCAGAATGCGGGACACCTGTTGGAAATGTAGGTTTCTATTCATAGAACCCACATCTATTTCGAGGTCATAAAGAAAATGTGGGACAGCCAGGGTCCAGGTATTTGCTGGCTCTCAATTAGATTTCAGTTGTTTCGACTCGACTCAGATCTTAATTCATGTTCAGCTGATATTAGCGGAGGCCAATTGATTGGCTTTGAAATTTAATTAAACTAGAAATTACATGCATGTTAATTAATGCCAATGGTTGTGTCAATACTAATAACTCTAATACGAAAACGAATATCAGCTTCAACGCTACTCAGAAAACTCATGTTTTGCTGATTTTAGTTGCCAGGCAAATTTGGGTCCGAGATTAAACAGAACAGTAGATATTTCGGGGCGGAGGAAGGAGAGGGTCCAACATCATGCATAATCATTAGTTTTCTCAAAATACGGATCTGTAGGTTCTCCGGGAATGCAGTGATTGTAAGGCGCAAGCATTGGTTCCCCGAACTATACGGATTACATGGAGCTCTTCTCTAAACTTAGACTTAATTACATCGGCAATCATTTGGACTAGCTCCGGCCTTGAGATTTCCCTACGCCCACTTAAAACCAAAATCAAAACGCTCCATGCAGGAATGCTGAAAAGGTCGGTGGGCTTTGTTTGGTTACTTAGGCGTTGCGTTTACATGCTGGGTTTGCAGAAGGTGGTACTGAGATCTGAAACTGCCGTTGCCAACCAGAACCCGGGATCGTCATACATTTGACTTCCCTTTTCCCCAAGACCCTACGCCCTACGCCCTGCAGCCCAGACCCAAGGCCCCAACCACTCTTCAGCTCAAAGACAAGGCCAAATCTTCGCGCGTCACACGGGCCGACTTCCAGCTGACCAGCGCCATGGCCACGGAGACTCCGGGTTCCGGCTGAGGGTCTGGAAAAATTGGGTGCAGGGTACCGCTCCTTAGTTGGGGTTCTATAGGGGATTATATGGGAATATAAAGGAGTTATATAGGGGATAGATTAGGTAAGGGTTGGATTAAGAGGATGTTGTCGCAGGTAACACCTGAGGAGTCAAGCGATGTTGATATGGCTTGGATCGCGACATGTACATCACAAGTTCCTTGTGCCAAGCATCAATGCCTTCTGGGGGCTTCGGGACGGAATTCCGGGGACGGATCTGAATTCCAAACTTGTCGTTGGGGTGCTTAAGCTTAAGTGGGCTGGGGTTGAAGGCTAAGAGCTTTGTGATATGTATAGGTTTCCTGCTCCCATGCAGACAACTGCTGTGCACCCAAGAAACGGCTGCAAGTGTCCCAAGACCTGAATCGAAACAATCCAACTCTCATGTCCAATACCTTCAGCCATCACTGCTAGACCACACATATAATTCCAGCATTCTCATTCAAAACGCAGGCATGGTCAAGTGCCAAAACGAGGCAGCGAAGCTGCATAGAGCCCGGCAAAGACCCTTGTCTAGACTCCATATGTTGAGAGGGTTGCTCATACTACACATGCTGGCATCAAGGGCTGCAGAATGTTCTTCGGAGACCCTGTGCAACCCTCTTCAGCTAGCAGCTTACAAATTCGTGCGATGTTGGTTCCTGACCGTCAGGGCGGTGATGGGGATGTCTCAAAATAGGGACTCCTGGGAAAAACCTCAGGGACATACGTGGAATAGAAGAGGATTGTACAGGTCCACGTAGGGAATGCATATAGTATATAGATGATTTTCAGAAACTAATGAGGCCGTGTTCGGTGGAAAACTGGTCACGGTGATTCCTTGCTCGAATGTCTGAGGATCAGCGGCAGTCTCCAATCAACAAGATTCTCATGCTTGCTCATTGTCCTAGACGCGCTGCCCTTCAACCCAAACTACATTTGAACTCGAGACCTGTAAATAACTTCCCCGCCGTCTATGCCAGCTGTATCCGAAGTTGCACGCATGAGTCCTGCACATTATGGATTCCCACTAACTTGGTTAGGGGCACACCTACAGGTACATGGAGCTGGCAGTGGACAATGGCAATAAAAGATCATAAGCAGATACCATGCTTCTAGATTGGTGACATCCCCACATCATAAGAGATCCCCACCTCCCTAACATTAAATGATCCCCATACTTGTACCATGATGCCATAATGTGGGGTGTTTCGTAACATGTGGAGGGGGCATTTATAACGGCAAAGCGGAACTACGGACAACAACATGACGGCGCGACCCACCAGAGCACTGGGCAGCTGCAAGGCCCTTCCAACCTCCACGCGTTTGGGCTCTTATTTACACCCTCTCCCAAACCACCATACTGACATGCAAGTTAAACAGGAGAACTGTCCTGTAAAAGAGGTGGACGGAAACTCCCAAGGACGCCAAACTCCCAAGGACGCCTCGTGAGGAAAATCAAGCCTTTCCAACTTGTTGTAATATCCCAGGATTTCAATTTGGGATATTTCTTGGGGTCCAACGTCTATACCCCAAGACAATACGTAATAGGATCCTCTTTTTTGGAACCTCTCTGAGAAGTCCCAGGAAATTGGGAAGCCTTAGTTTACTAAATAACCGCTCTCCCTTGTGCTTTGCACCCTCGACCCTTCTGAACAACCCCCACCTGTGCGGCCGATGAGGCAGAAGTGCGCATGAGAGCAGCAAAAGCCTCAAGAGACCTGAGTATCAGCTGGCAGTCGATTTCAGATTCAGATGATTCAGGGTTAAAGGGCTAGTGGAAATCTTAGTAGTCCTGCGAAAGGTCTGACCTTTGCTGTGGCAGAACCAACTTCGCCTTTTGCTGCCATTGTTTTTGACTACTGTGCCTCCCTTAATGACTGATAAATTACTGGATTCATGGATGACACTTGCGGTCGGTACTGGTTCTCGCTGGCAACGCCCGCCCTGCCACAAAACTTGCTCTTACTTGCCCCAATTGCGACCGTCGCATCTATCAAAACAATTGAAGCTTTGGTATCCAACGCTCGATGTTTCAGGCCACAGGAGGAAGGAATGTTTAGTTTGTCCGCGCTACTACGCCCGACAATGAATTTTATGCCTGACTGCCTTAAAAAAAAAAAAAACTCAAGGCAGGCGCAATCGCGAGATCTCAAATTTGCGGTTAAGGAATTAACATGAAATGCCAGGAGTGGTATGCCTCTGGACTTGAAGCTGCAGTGTACACATTCAGCGATACGGTGCATATTTTCGCCATGTGAGGTTTGAACCAAAACATGGCTAAATTCTCCTTCTGCAGCCATATAGAGTAAGTTTTGATGTAAGCAGGCACTTTTCGAACACTCGGGCTCACGAAGTTACAGGCCTCCGAGGCCATACATTCCACTTGAGACGATACAAATCATGCGACTGTCTAATGCTCTCTATACTCTCTAAATAGCTGTAGCTTGAGTCCGCAGGGCAAAATGCCTAGACTTCCCAGTGGGATTCCTGTTCTAGGCTGGTCCATCTCATAGCCTTTATCCTGGCACCCAACAAGAAAGGTTTACCACAAATAGGAACGTTCTTGGATGCCGCGGATTGTCAGGATAGAGACTACCCAGCATCTGTATATGGCAGTTTACCAAATTTCTGGTGCCCACACGCAACAGAATTGGAATCCTTCACTTCCAAAGGAAGCTGCAACATTTCAAGCAACCCATAAACGATTTCGATTTTGCGACCATACTTGTCAGAATTAGCAAGTTGCTCGGCGTTTTCCGTGGTTGATAGAGGAGCAGACAGTAGAGCTGTGAGCTTTTGGTTTAATTTACGGGGCTTTTCTGACTCCTATCAGAGCATATCAGGATCCATATAGGAGTTGGGACAGCCTGAAGTCCAGCACTTGCACATCATGCCCTAGCCATAACCACAATGCCTCAATTCCACCAACTCTAGAATGCCAGGTAGCAGCTGCTCCAAAGTAACAGGCACGTCCTAAATGATTCCGCTACTTGCTAGGAAGGGCTAGTGAAGGACTATCCTCAAGAACCCACAGCCTTGATGCCAGAACGCCCTGCTACACGACTCCAAACCCTTGTCTCATCCCCTCGACTATTCTGACGCTGCACTACTTCAGGCTTCTAGACAGTGCGGCACATGGTTTCTTAGATGTTCTGTTCAGGAACGATCCGCTACCCTGAAAGCTAGATTGCAGACCACAAACCCCCCCCCACACGAAGCCCCAAATCGCTAGGGTTTGGATTAGGATGCTAGAAGCCTCTGATGAATAGCCTCCAGGCAAAAGCAAAGGTGTGGGGCCACGATTCGGGGTTTAGGCGTTGACATCTTTTCCTCGACGGCTTCAGGGACTTCACAAGAGCCACGGCTAATCTCAAAAGCAAAGGGACTTTACCTATTTCATATTCACTCGATAGCTGTGTTTGCCTGCTGGCTCACAAGGCCTGGTGGGAAGTCCTATCCGGGGCTGGGAACGAGCGACTGGATTCCGATAAAGGCCCCTATCTAATCTCGAATATTCATCCCGGCAGTAATAGCAATCACGACCACAACCTAAACAACAATTGCCCTCTTCCCAAACAAGCAGGTGTAACAGGATCACCCGGCCGGGATGCCTCCCACCGGCCCCACTAGGGCTTGAAATTGTGTCCCATCTCAAAGAAAACAGTCCATTTGTGGTTGGTACTTCCAAGATGCACCCACAAGGAAATTCCGAGATTGACATACACACGCCTTACTGAGACCAACCGAGATTGTGTCGTGCACAAGACTTGGGCAAGTGCGCTGCAGCTTGCACGTGGTCACAATTCCACGGACTCCAAGATGCTTGGTAGCAGCTGCTCCAGGTTCGGAGCAATGTTGATTGCCAACGTGCCGTCACGCATCGGGTTATACAGGGGTTATGGTCTTATGCTATCACAGCTTGCTGACAACACCCCAGCAATACCCCGGGCGAGCGAGAGACTGTTCAGAAAGTCTTACGCCGCGGAGCCCGACAACTGCCGCCAAAGCAAGTGAACGTCCAGAGCCGTGTGCAAGGAGAGCATCACAAAGTTGGAACATTCCTTGATCCTAGAGTTCTGCTGGACAAGCAACATTCCAAGATCACTATGCTCCCTCCTCATCTCCCCTATCTCCCTCCTCCTACTCCTGCCGTCCTCTGGCCCCCACACTGGGAGGGGAGAACTTTGGTATGGCTTCTGCGGACGCTCGGTATCCTGGCGCTTGCCCACACACTGAGAAATAAGAGTGACCAACACCGGACTTGTCCCAACGTTGCGAACTCGCTGCAGCTGGTGCATGTCGAGTGAAACATGTGTGCCGCTTCACCAGAAATACAGGCACATGCAGGTAGGTCGTGTGATTGCGTGCCCGAGTGTGCTTGGCCATAACGTATCTGTATGGCTGCAAACGGGACAGGCCGATATTTATTTGTTGGATGATATCCACAGTTGGTAGCCTCCGCGCTGCGAGAAATGACTTTGCAGCAAAGGTTCTTGGCCTTTGCGGGCCCAGAAGATGTTTCATTCTGGAAGCTAGCGAATGCGAATTTTTGAAGTGCAAGAATTGTATTCTCGACCCCAAGCCTCCAGGACCTGATAGGGCCTCGGCACCGTGTTCCTTGCTATGTGCAACCACGTAATGGGCACTGCAGCCAGTACCCTTGCTAGATAGGATTTCTCGCATCCATGGATCCACATTCGAAATGATCCGATGACTTGCATTTTTTTTAAGTTGGCATTCTGTACCCTCAGCACTCCCTGGCACGATGGGGCTGCTTCCCGGCAGCAAAATAATTCTTAGTCTTAGTGGCTGTGAGATACGGCGGACGGAGCGAATCATACACCACCCTGAGATACAACCCTAAGAGACTATATAGAATGCCAGATCCATCAGCAGAACCGTCTAGCTGTCACAGAGCGTGGATGCGTGCCCACATTAGGTGACCTTCTGGGTCGGCGTGGTTCCGCTACTTCAGCTTCAACGTATCCAATCCGCCCGAACAACGCTTGCTTCAATCCCGGTGGTTCGGTTGTTGGGCCCTGCAGAGCAAAGCCAGCAATCCCTCTGAGCTCAGTGAGTAAAAGTCTGTTTGCTTGTGCCTGACTTTACAATGACCCGCGCACCTTAGCCTTATCCATGAGTAGACATAACTCAGAAATCGGGAAGCGTGTGATATGTTACCTATACGAGCTGACCACAAAGGATGGAGGATTGAAAGCTTTCTGTGTGGCTGACTTGGGCCTAAGCTGACCCTAAAGCCTCAGGCCCAAAACCTTTGTGAATTTGGGGAGGAGGGACCCCAAATCCCAAATCGGCAACACTCTCTAAAATCACGAAGCCACGCACCCTCAACCGATGGACCCACAAGGTCAATGAGCGAAAGCTGCATCCAAAAAAGGATGCCTTGAAAGCATCTGCCACGACGCCACCCGGTCTTCCATGGGTCCCCACGCATTAAGGACAACTTCGGAGGGGGAGCCACCGATGGTTTTTGATGGGTGAACGTGCCCCCAAGAATGTGTAATAGCCACCTCTTGTCTCTGGAGAATGCGAGGACCCATGACGAAGATTGGCACCACAGGTTCGATACACACTGGCAGTGGGTCCACAAGGAGATTTCTCAAAATTGCGTACCTTGCGGTGTAAGGTTACGTACCCAGGATTGTACAGGGAATGCCCAAGATACTCATCTACTTAGAATGCCTAGGAACATCCTGCAGATCTAGACACTCAACCATACATATGTATATATATATATAGAGTGAAGCCTGTGTACACTCACCAAAGACACAACAAATTCCCTGCCCGCTTGTTGAGGAGATTTACAATTGAACGGTTACCATGCAAATACGCCCTTGACCCCAAACCTATAGGCCCTAAACCCCAATTCCTTAAGCAGCTGCCGAACACGAAGGTTTCCTCCTGGGTGCGCTCTTGTCCAACACCTCTCCGAGGTCCCCCGGCACAAGCCCCAGAAATCAAGGACGTCCTTTTGGCTGCAGGGCAGCCCTATAAGCAACCTAGAGCTCCGAAAGGGGCTGGTGAACAACAAGGCCTTGAATCTCCACCCCAAACCCTCAATCAACATAAGGTATACCGGGGGACCTTGGCAACGCAGCCCTCCCTCATGCCGTCTTGAAGAGTTTAGGGTTTTGCACTGCCCTTCTAAAACCCCGACCAACTCCTTAGGAGCCTTCAAGGAGGCGACAATGGTAGACAGTTTTCAACAAGACGGCGAATGAAGACAAGAATTCCCTGCAGGCAGCTTCGGGGTGCAAACAAGAATTTAGCAAGGGACAACAGAAACAGGCATTTCAAAAATCAGCTGCTCTAGCCTGAGCCCTACACCAAAACAGCATCTCCGCTTGACCACCAGCATGTCCTTTTGAATCTAGGCTCGTTTCTTACGCTCCCGGCAAATGCGGTTCCTGCGTGTCTTGGCCTCAATCGGTGAGCAGAAGTGGCAGTGAGAACAAGCGTTTCCCATACGGCAGCCGTCATCCATGCGATGAAAGAAGATGCATGGTCTGCAGGTGCCGGCGCAATGCTCCTTAATCTGCCCTCTTGTCCTAGGAATAAACGAGACGTCTTCCGCAGTCGCATATTGACCCAGAAAAAATCAAGGATTCCTAAAATTGACCCAGGTTCCTGCCAGATCTTTCGGAGGGCCTGTGCCTCAGGACCAGCCGGGTTCTCACCAGCTGGCTCACTGTACCATGGGTAAGACCTGCTGGGCCAATTTGTGATTCGGGGTTTGGGGCTTCGGCTGCCTGTGGATTTACCGCAGCTGGTTGAAACAGGTTGTCCTGTATCTGCCAGGTGGAGCTGTCTGTGTTGTCCTCACATGAAGATGACCGTTAACATAAGGGCTCTCACCGAAGCTGTCAGATTGTTGACGTAGCCTGCAGGATCTACATATACTGTGAGGCCGCACGCGGTCGAACCCAAACCAAAGTGAAGGTTGAGGGGCGTTAGGGCTTTGAATTTATGGCTTGAGATTCAGGGGATAGTGTTCAGGGTGTAGGGAGTTGGATTTTACAATTTTGGGTGGGCGGAAATGACTTCTATAGCATCTCATGCCAGGAAGCACGCGTGCCCCGCGCCAGACTAACATGCATCTCAAGTGGATGAGGAAGGAAATATGGTTATCGTGCGAGCTACCGTGCGGGGTTTAAATTTTAGGGTCTATAAGCCCTATAGTGAAACCCTCTGAGAGCCTAAGAGTAGCTCCCTGTTGGTAATTCTCCAAGCCAGTGTCCTTCAAACGAGGGGGTATCGCGACACAGGCCTACCCGCTTCAATGCTCGCTCTTGCCAAGAAACTCGGTTGTGAAGCCCTCAGCCCTGAACCCTACAGCCTAAGTAGGGTGTGGGTGTAGAGCCGTGCCGGCACTGAAGCAAGCTAACCATGGGTCTGCAAAGTTAGCGAAGTCAATGGGTTCTGGAGTTCATGCTACTTTTTTGTGCTTCTGAACCTGGCCCAGGAATGACGCCTCAAAGACATCCATAGATCATCCCAATACTATTACTAGTCAGCGTGTAGGCTTGGAGACCCGCACGACGTACCCGACACATGGGGCTAGATCTCCGAGCACTTCAGTGAAGGCCCAATTTCTCACAACTGCCATGTATGTGAATATTTTCTTCTCCACGGCGCCAGATAAGCACTGGCTCATCCAACTCGCGGCCAGGGTTTACGGCCAACCCATGAAAATTATTGAAGGGCCAAGCCCAGCTGCCCACAGACTCCTGCTAAGTGTTGGCGATATCTGATAACATAACAAATGAGGGCCCCCATGCGCTTTGAAATAGCGTTTGAAATCCAGTTGCGAGATTAAGGTATTGCCTTGAAACCCTAAAGCTCCCACCAAGCAATAAATACAAAGAGGGACATATTTATAACGATGCGACCAGTTATGCAGCGTATTGCAAGATGCGCCGAGCGGCAACCTCAATCACAAACCTTCAACCTCTCCCTAAACGCCCACAAGGCTCAGAAACCCGTACATGTTGAAACATCAGCCCTCAGCCCGAAATCCTGCTTCCCAGCCCCCTAAACCCCAAAGTCTGATACCGCGACTACTACACTACGTACCTCAACCCAAAACCCTGCCTAGGGACAAGGAGTTCGGGTTGTGACTTCGAGCGGCGGATTTCAGCACCTGATGTTCTCAGCTTGTGTGCAGTCCCTGTGCTAGGAGAGGACGAGGCTACCCAAATGAATCGCGCACCAACATGCAGAATGACCACTACCTGTACAGCTCGTACAGGATTGAATTACGAGCAGGATAGAAAAGCCTGCCCTTGTAGGAGACCCCCGCTGCACACCCGAAAGCATACGTAATCTCTTCTCCGTCCTGGCTGGTGGTAGTCTGTATGCTATTACGTAACCCTTGTCTCAAAGCCACAAGCACGCTGTGGCTGATTTTAATTCAGTCTGCCGCCCTACCTCAGAAAGACAATTGAGGTTGAAGCCTTATTCGAGGTAGCTACAACAACCCATCCATGAGCCATTAGTATGAAAGAAATTCAGTGACACAAAGAAAAGCGTTCGGAATTTCTCTGATAGGTTTGGGTCTCAGTTGCTTGTAGGGTTGGGGTCTTGGGCGGTTGGGGTTTGTCAAAACCTGGTCCTTGATGAACCACATCTTCCCTGCGACTCAAGCTGTTGCCCACAGAACGTCATTAACGTTTCAGGTTGGTTCGCCACACTTCTCTATCCTGCTGAGAGCTTCGCTACTTGAAAAGCAGGAAGAGCAAAGCCACATAAAAAAAATGTTCCAAACTTGTTAGTCTTCGGGGTCAGAGGTGCGGGGGCCAAATGCGGTGAATTGGGTCTTCAGTGGAGGGCTGTTTTGTTTTTCTCCGGATTTAGAGTTGGGTCCCGCAAAGCAAGTCTCCACTTATCGCGAGGACCCTTAGCACGAAAACACCCTCGAAAGGCCTCTGCAGTATGAGGCCCAACTTTTCCCGAACAACTCCGGGTCCTCAAGGGTACCGCGCAATGATGTCAAACTCCCCTCTAAACCCTGCACCTGAAACCGAACCCTCAAAGCTGATTTCAGAAAATCCAATCTATGCTCTCCCTGAGTGCTCCGAGACCTGCCTGGCTCCACAGGTACCTCACGGGATCAAGCACCAGTTGACACACAGTTTTGGCTTTAGGGTCTCAGGGCTTTTGAGTTTCAGGGATTTGGAGGGTTTGGGCTTCGGGGGAGGGGGGGGGCTGAGGGCTTTCTGTTTCAGGGTGAGCGAAGGATCTGATTTCGATTATTCCTTTTCAAGCCTACCAAGCAGAGAAGCTTAGGTTTCAGGGGCAGGAAGAATGACCGCTCGGTCGCCTCATCTAGGGGAAGAAAGCAAGCAGTTCTTGGAAAGATCTCCGGGCCCGAGCGCGGCGGGAAGGACCCAAATCATGAAGCATAAGCCCAAACCCAACACCCTCGCAGTTAAAACATCATTGCTGATCAACAACTTAGGTTCGGCAAGGACAGGACTTGATCCGAAATCAAATCACTGCTATGCTACACTACCATGAAGAACCGTGCGTCCACTCTTCAAAACTCCCCTGGGTGACCATGATGTGTCCACCCCAAACTCCAAACCCTAAACATACAGTAGTTCCAGTGAGGCACCACTTCCAGGAAGGTCTTCTTGAAACACATGGCCAGCTGGCTGCCGCTTTCGTCCTGCTCCGCAGGAAGAACCACTCCGGGATTTAGAGCGTTCGGGGGGTTGGGGATTAGATTTTCTTGCTTTTGGGGTTGATGATGCAATTTCGGCTTCAGGGGTAAACTATTTAGTTGTTTGGGTTCAGAGGGATTCACCAAGCACTGTGAGGCCCGTGGGTCTGGAATTTGAGGACTTCGCATTGAAGCAGAATTGGGCTCAGGTGTTCAGGATTTCCGGACTTGTGGTTTGTTGCCCAGGGCTCTGTTGCCGCCTTGCTGAACATGTTGCCAGGATCACGAGCGGAACGCCCAACTCTTAATTTCAGCATCACAATACCCTACAGCATAAACCACGGGAGATATTGAGGAAATGCACGAGGACTGCGAAAGACGGGACCCCATGTTCTGGTGCATAGTATTAACACGGTAACTTGCATCGAAACTACTTTGAGACTTGTCTGCGAGGAGCCATGGTATGAACCCTGGTCCGATGATCTTCAGTCCTCCGTCAGCCAAAGAACGCGCATTGACGATGCTCCCGCTTCCATAGCGTCAAGCGTCGGTAGGCCGAAAAGACTCACAAACGGCAGTTTACCACGATGGTGCTGAGCCACAAGAGCTGCAAGGCCACGAACTGGGAACAGGTTGGCTAAGTAAACCTGAATCTCAGATCTTCATACCAATCAAACCCAAAACAAATTCTGACCGAATAAGCACAGTTCAGGTTTATTTTTCGTTGAAGGCCATGTGACTTGAGAAGCCTGAGCCACTTCACCCAAAAATCGTGAAACCAACTCGTACCTCCGAGGTTGCTTAAGTCCAATTCTCAGATCCCAGACTGATTCAGACATCGACCAAAGCAGCGGCAAGATCTTGTCAGAATACAGATACGATGCGGAAAAAATGCATGTGGCTAATCTGCTTCCAGGCAGTTGATGTTTTAAGCTTAGTGGGAAGTCGGCTTTGTAAAGCATAACTTCGCAGCCCGATTTCAGAGAAGATGTTGCTGGGGACCCGCCGCCAGGGAGGCAGCACCCGTACCCAAGAGTGGAACATTTTTATATTCAACGTGGAACATACCCCATGATCTAGATTGTGCAGACGACGTGGAACTGATCAGCGAAAGATAGCAGGGCGGCGTAAAGTGCACACCCTGGCCACTGGCCACAGGCACTGCAGGCAGTCTCCAACAGTTGGTTGCAACAAAAGAAGAGTCACTGCCGTCAGGCAAAAAAGACTCTTGACTTCTTTTCTGGGAGCTGTTGCGGCGCACACGGTAAGCACGCCGCTGTTTGCCAAAAACCAGAAAATAGCGTGTGTCTCACAGGATGTTGGGCCCAGCCATGAACACCCTCGACTGTGTCATGCGGTGCAAGGACCAACCCCTCATCACTCAGGTGCGTTTGAAAATCTGCAGCGTCGAACTTTTCAGTTGCCGGCGCCACAAGCACTTAAGTTGTCTTGAGAATCTGCAGATAACAACCCAATTCCACTTGAGTTCTCGATTCGAGGGTGCGAGTGTTGAGTGGCTTGAGAACTGAGAGCAAGCCCAGAGCCTGAACCTCCATAAACCATATCAAGCCTGCTTGACCCAAGCCCTGCAAGCTTTAACCCCTTACTAGCAAGGCAAGCTGCAGGGGTGCCGCACTTTCCGGAGGCTGTTGCCTCAATTCAAGCAGTGCTACAGCTAGGGTGTTGGGGTTTCGGGTATGACGGTTTAGCCTAAGAGGGTAGTGCGCGCCCCAAGGGTTGCTTGCACCCTCTTTGGAGTCTTCTAGGACTGGAGTGTACGTATGTGGGCATCTTAGCGCGATTGTCTATGTAGAGAAACTGGGGTGTACAGGTATGAAACTGCTTACACTGCCCATCTTGTCGAGAAG